CAGTTCCTGCTTGGTGCAGAATATTCAACTACTACACCTGCCGATACAACAGTTGGGCATTTTCAAAATGGATCCTTTCCGTGTAAATCAATTACTTTTGAGACAGTCCACAGCTATCATGACGTATTTGTGTCTCAATTTCAGACTAAAGTTTCAGACTTAGTGCAATAGGTCTTCATTTTTCCAAATATAATCAATTGGAATGGTATAGGAATTTTGACAATAGGTTTTAAGACAATTTTAAGAAAATATGTAAAAATCTACTTAGAAAATTTAATATATATAATTTTGTTATTATATGACATTATTTTATAAATATATGATAGAAATTAAATATTATAAGGAAAAATATAATATGGATATATGTATAAGAATCTATATAAATTTATGTTTAATATTGTAAATATTTATGCAAATCAATTAATAATATTATATCATTTTAAAGTTTTAATATTTATTTATTTTAAGCTAAACACGTATAATAATATCGATATAATAAATAAAAATGTTGTTCATTGTCCAAAAAATTCTTTTCATACTTCTCAATACGGTTGTAATGCATTCTATTAAATAATTATAAGCGTATACAAAACAAGAACGATTTCTCTTAATTTGATAAATTTAGTTTACAAATTGCTCTAATTATTTTCACTGTGAGTGAAAAGTAAATAACTATGCAACAGTTCCTCTTCTAATTATTAAAATATATATAGAATCTCAAACGATATACCATTTAACTTTGCGAGTATAAAATGTTCGGTTTGCATCCGAACTTAGCCTTCTACTTGTACTTACATAGTATATCAAGTTGAGGTGAGGCTTTTCGGAACTTTTCAACATCCGAAAATTCTGGAGTAACCTAGTCATCTTATTGAAAAACGAATTTTGAGGTGAGATGGGTTTTCAGGTGCGGCTCGGAAAATGCAACCGAATTCAATTTCTTGCGCCACTGTAATTATTTGTGGGTACAGATAACTTTCGATAAGGATGTCGACAAGTCTGGATTATAAGTGAGGTCAATAGCTAAAACCGAATTCTTATTGAAAATTATTATATCAAGTGAGTGAGTGGTTATTTCGTTAAAGTTTTAAGATAAACGCGTGGGTTCTTATCTTAAACTCCTTTTTGATGGTAAACGAGGGTGAGTTCGCAAGTTGTAAAGAACCCTATAATGAAACTTGCAAAATCTGCTTCCTACTTGAGTTGTGGGTCTTGGTTTTACTTTCAGTGGGCAGTAAGAGGTTGCGGATTTATTGGTTAAGGGTACTATTATTTTGGAATCAAGAGGCGGTTTGAGTTCTTGAGCCTTGCGGAGCAGGATAGCATCCCTATGCAGACAGTATTATGTTACAATCTTTAAATTATATGTTTTTAATTTTAGTTTATGTACTCACAATTTTTCCACGTATGTATTCCTTACTGCTTTTAATTCCAAGTGAGTTGATTGGGTGTGAATATAAAAATCTGATTGATTGATCAATTGGTATTTTGTGTGTGTGGTTGTTAGGGCTATATGTAGAATGCAATTTATGTGTTATTTGTAGTATGACTTAAATATAAATATAAATTTAATATAGCCTGATGTAGGTTGATATTCCCGCGTAGGTTTGGTGCTGCTGCTGTTGTTGTTGTGCTGCTGGGGCGATCTGGTTTCGCGCCTTTTGTCCGTCGGTGTTGATATGTATATTCCTGGCTGCCGATTCGTTCTTATTAGATTGACGAGCTATATTGGTGCTGTTGACCTTTTGCATTGTCCTCTAATTTGTATTGTATTTATACGAGTTTGGAGAACAATGCAGGATGTGTTATTTGGTATGAAAAATATTATTATTCCAAATATTAAATAATTTATTTTATTAATTAAATTTTATTAATTCCATATTTTATTTGCTATCAAAAATTTTATCTTAAATATTATTATTTTGAATCACCCTGCGTTAATTTGAGTAAATTTAGTTTACAAATTGCTCTAATTATTTTCACTGTGAGTGAAAAGTAAATAACTATGGCAACAGTTCCTACTTCTAATTATTAAAATATATATAAGAAGTCTCAAACGAATATACCATTTAACTTTGCGAGAGTATAAAATGTTCGGTTGCATCCGAACTTAGCCCTTCCTTACTTGTACTTACATAGTATATCCGAAGTTGAGGGTAGAGGCTTTTTCGGAACTTTTTCAACATCCGAAAATTCTGTGAGTAACTTGCCTAGGGTCATCTTATTGAAAAATGACAATTTTGAGGGTGAGATGGGTTTTTCAGGTGCGGCTCCGGAAAGAATGCAACCGAATTCAATTTCTTGCGCCACTGTGAATTATTTGTGGGTACAGATAACTTTCGATAAGGATGTCGACAAGTCTGGATTATAGAAGTGAGGGTCAGCTAAGCTAAAACCGAATTCTTTATTGAAAATTATTATATCAAGTGAGTGAGTGGTTAAGTTATCGGTTAAAGTTTTTAAGATAAACGCGTGGGTTCTTATCTTAAACTCCTTTTTTGATGGTAAACGAAGGGTGAGTTCGCAAGTTGTAAAGAACTTGCACTATGGCAGTAACTTGCAAAATCTGCTTCCTACTTGAGTTGTGTGGGTCTTGGGTTTTACTTTCAGTGGGCAGTAAGAGGGTTGCGGATTTGTATTGGGGTTAAGGGGTACTATTATTGTTGGAATCAAGAGGCGGGTTTGAGGTTCTTGAGCCTTGCGGGAGCGGGATGAGGCATCCCTATGCAGACGAGTATTATGTTGCAATCTTTAAATTATATGTTTTTTTTTTAATTTTAGTTTATGTACTCACAATTTTTTTCCACGTATGTATTCCTTACTGCTTTTAATTCCAAGTGAGTTGATTGGGTAGGTGAATATAAAAATCCTGATTGATTGATCCAATTGAGTATTTTTGTGTGTGGTTGTTAGGGGCTATATGTAGAATGCAATTTATGTGTTATTTGTAAGTATAGACTTAAATATAAATATAAATTTAATATAGCCTGATGTAGGTTGATATTCCCGCGTAGGTTTTGGTGCTGCTGCTGTTGTTGTTGTGCTGCTGGGGCGATCTGGTTTCGCGCCTTTTTTGTCCGTCGGTGTTGATATGTATATTCCTGGCTGCCGATTCGTTCTTATTAGATTGACGAGCTATATTGGTGCTGTTGAGCCTTTTGCATTGTCCTCTAATTTGTATTGTATTTATACGAGTTTGGAGAACAATGCAGGGATGTGTTATTTGGTATGAAAAAATATTATTATTCCAAATATTAAATAATTTATTTTTATTAATTAAATTTTTATTAAATTCCATATTTTTATTTGCTATAAAAAAATGTTTATCTTAAATATTATTATTTTTGAATCACCCTGCTGTCTCTTCAATTGATTTGTTCCGCTTGAGATATGTGGAAATACGCCTAACAGAAACGCAAACATTTTACGCATACTTTGTGATCGTGTTAGATGTATTTCCGTCAGAAATTTCTTGACTCTGTCCCCACTCTCAAAGCCCGCGATAGAAACTATATAATAACTTAAAAAGTCTTCTGGAGAAGTCTTCACACTATATATTATTTTAACATCGAAAATCGATTTGCACAACTTTACTGTGAAGAATTACTGAAAATGTCTCTGTTGACAAATTGTTGCGCTTTGTATTTT